TCTGCAGGACACACACGCTTCCCAGGAAGGGAACCGATGGGGATGAACCCATCTCAGCGGTGATGCTCTCTGTCGTTGCCTTGAAAGATCTTTCCCAAGGAAAGCACCGATCTGAATCTCTTTGTGCTGTGTTTGGTTTCTCGTCAGTCCTGCTCACTCAGCTCCTGCCGCAGTGTACTTACTCTGGCAGACGGGAACATCACCGCTCCACGTCACTCGCGTCCCAGAGCTCGAAATCACACAGTGCCGCTGGGATGCTCCAACCAGCCTGTGCCTGGGGTCAAACAAAGTCACTCTTGTCACTGCAGGACCATCTTTGGAGGTCGCATCTCCCACAGCAAACAAGTATTGCCTTAGTTGCCATCTAATACCACCATTTTAAAGCTATGAACCTTAGCTCATATGGGGACCTCCCCCCAGGTCCCCTCGGTCAGCACAGGCAGTACATCCCTGGGGGCTCAGGGAGCTGCCATGCCCTCTCCTCTTCCTTCCATCCTCTAGAAAAGTCCACTTTAATGACTTCTGGCTTAAGCCAAAGCTTCCAAAATAAACTCCCCTTTTCCCTTCATATGCTCCACACAACCAGACTCGGGTGGTCGTGCCCTCTAAATGGCATTTAAAAATTTATAAATAAATCCCCTTCTCCAATTTCTGTTGCCATTTGGACTAGATATTAGACTAGAAATAGACCGTTGCGAAGACCAGAATTGCTTTAGTGCCAAAACTGTTCTAAACCACCCAAAGGATTCTGAGGTTTTCCCTGATCATTTGGATGATTTGTATTTTCTCTCAGCACCTGAGAACTCCAGTTTCTCCTCCAGCATGGCCTTGTGCAGGCAACGCTGGGGTGCTCTGAGCTCAGAGACACAACCACTGGTCTCTTGTGGGAAGACACGCGGTGCCTACGAGTTGCAGGGAGGGCAGAAGGATTGCTGATTTCATCTCGGCGAGGTGAAGGAGCTTGGCTGGGACTCACCCTTCATTACAGGTGTAATTCACTGTTGACCCAAAGAAGAGATCTGTTGTAGCGATAACTCTGCCGTTCTCTGGTTCTCCTGGATGATCACACTTTCTCCCTGGGCAGAAGAAAACCTGGTTTTAAGCTGCTTTAACTCAGTGCCATAGGAAAAAGGTCACTAATTCTGGGAGTCTGCCCAAACCCCACGGAGGAGGGGACTGAAAGGGAGAAATTACAAGGCTTCAGTCATCACATTGTGATTGAAACAAACTAGAAGTATTGCAAAACATACGTTTGCAAAACTCCTGGGCTTCAGACCATGTTTGATTTTCAAGACACGTGATAGTTGGTGGTATCTGTGGATGTTTTATGTATCCAGGCCGACAAGTGTACTTCACAGTCTTCCCAACAGAAAACTCAGTCTGATTTTTATACTCCTTGTTTAGCTCAGCAAAAAATAACGTTGTTGGTGTCCCACAGCCAGCTGCCAAGAAACAAAATGCACATGAGAAATACATGCTGGCTGTGAAACACAGCTAAAGAGAAACAAGCGCATAGGTAGGGACCATTACAAACCCCGAGGTATTAATATCTCTTCTATGTATTCTGACATTTATCTACATAAATTAACACTTACTTAGCATGCAAGGATACGTGCACCCAATTTATATGTTCTTAAAAAAATGAAACAAAACCATCCCCCCCCAAAAAAAAACCCAACCCAGGTTAGCCAGTTTGGTGTTTCCACACTCTGCACATCCTACGCTGCAGCACGGCCACCATACAGCGTGTTGTCTTTGGGCCAGAGTGCAGGAATCTGCAATTTCAGAAGTTAGAACAACCAAGACTGTCTCCTTGTGGGAAACCATGGGCTTTGGCAATGCCACCAGGTTATTCCCAGTGCCACCAAAGTGAACACAGCGCCTGCGTGTGCTGGAAGCACGCTTAGACCCGTGGGTGTCACTGGGTGTGCACTTCGCCCCCCACACGCCAGTTCTGCAGGTTGGCAGGTTTGCCTGCTCCAGGATCAGCCGAGCACGGGACGGGTGCTCAGCCAGCCGCAGCAGCCGCGGCAGCAGCCGGCCCCACCTGCGCAGCGTGGGTACGGGAGGCTCCAGTTCCCCGAGGCTGTGCACAAGACAGAGGGGTCTCCGAGGAGGGAGAAGCCGGGCTGGCAGCTGTAGCTCACGGACATGCCGCTGGTGAAGTTTGCCCCGAGCTCCGCGCTGTGCGTGGCATGGGCGATGACTGGAGGTGGAGGACAAGGCAGCACTAACAGGGCAGGAGCAGAGAACAGCGTTTCAGTGATTTTGCCCGACGGAGGAGTACATGTAACACAGCAAAACACCGTCAGACCTGAAGCGATCGAGTGAGGCAGAGAGCACGACCTCAGGTCCCCTCCAGCACAAGGGTGGCCCTAAGCATCCTCTCTCTAAACCCCCATGTGCCCGTGCTCACCTGGCTCGCAGGTGGGGACAGCAGGCGCCCAGCGGCCATTGGGCTGGCACTTGGCTTCATGGCTGCCCCACAGCACGTAGCCCGGGCGGCACTGGAAGGTGACGTTGGCCCCAGGATGGTACACAGCTCTCTGTCCTTCAGCCACCTCTCCGTTCTGGACGTTGGGGCTTGTGCAGGTGATCACTGGAAGTGAAAAGCAGCAGAGCGTGGGCTGGGGAAGCGGCTGCCAGAGCTGGGGGTTCTCCCTTTGTTTTTGTGAGGTCAAAATTCAGGGAAGGCTGTGCGACCGCGATGGTCTCCCTTTTCAGTATGGGTAACAGCATTCACAGCTCACCTTCACACCGGGGGTAAGGGATGCTCCAGGTTCCGGATTTCAAACAAGAAACTGTTGTTTTCCCGGTGAGGACATACCCCGGGTCACAGTAGTACTTCACTGATGTTCCAGGGATGAACACTTTCACATCCTTGCTCTCATGCTGCCCATTTTTGATATTTGGAGGGGAAGGACACTGTAGCACTACAAGGAGGGGAAAAAAGTGGTGAAGAGCATGTACCAGAAACACCCACTGTAGGGTAAGGCAGCCTTTTCACTTCTTTCTTTTCCATTAACTTTTCCCAAATAGCTAGGGATGTCAATGTATGAATTATGTTTCCATCCTACCCTCACCTATCTTCCAGCCTTCATGTTTTTTGAGCTTATTGACATCAAGAATGATCTTTTCTCACTATTTAGGCATTTACAGTGGTTAGTTTCCATCTGCGGCTGTAACAGCTTGCTCGGGCCTTTCTGTGGTTGTGAACAAGATCAGACACTAGCCTGGCTCTCTCTCCATTTGTGGATTCATTTAAGGAGATGAAAGCCCTACGTAACAACAGTCTGAATGGGTGTTATGAAGATGGGTGGACAGGTATTTGCATGTTTTTCCTTTCCAGTCCTAGAGAGTGGCCCCTTTACCTCCAAGGTGAGGCAGTTGCACCCTGCCAGGTGCACTCACACAGTGGTTCAGAAGAAATCGGCTGCCACCCACCGCCTCATTTACACTTACTCTTTTCGCAGATGGGCACAGGAGGGTCCCATGTGCCCCCAAACTGGCACCGAGACTCTTGAGAGCCCTTCAAGGCGTAACCAAAATCGCATTCGAAGACAATGATGTCTGCGAGTCTGTACATGGTCTCCAGCCCAGTCGTTCTTCCGTTTGTGATCTCTGGTCTTTTGCAGCCGGTTGCTGGAAGTGAAGAGCACAAGGCACCGCTGGGGACGCGAAGCCCATCCTGGGTGCGGAGGGGCACTGACCAGGGGCAGTGCCTGCTGCCGATCCTTGCCATCGCTATCATGGGCGTGTCAACATCATTGACTCTTATCCTTACACAAAATATCATTATTCAACTGCACTTGTAGTCTGTCCTTACTGGGGGGCAGAAAGAGAAATCCACAGAGGCAGGTGGGGCTCCTCCTGCCTGTGGGATCTTTGGCCTCTGCCTCTCACTGGAGATTTGGTCTGCAGCGATTAGACCAAGAGCCAAGAAGGAAGAAAGGACCCGGGGAAAGGTAAAAGAAGCCAACACACACACACACACCTTCACATCGGGGCCGGGGCCGGCTCCATGTTCCCCTGGCGGTACAGCTGATGGAGGCGTTCCCGATGAGGGAGTAGCCATCCCTGCAGGTGTACTGCACAGTCGAACCTGGAAGGTGGGTGTCCAAGGACTGGCCGCTGTGATTCCCGTTGGCGATGCCTGGAGGGGGAGGACACTTCACCTCTGTGAAGGAGAAGGAAAGGCAGGTAAGAAATATGGACAAGGCAAGAAAAAAAAATTAAAAATCCAACTTTCAAAAACCAAAGGAGGAAGACAATTAATTCCATTAACTCCTCTCAATAAATATCTGTCATGTTAGCTGTCTTCCTATCAGTGGGTGCAGCCCCCACCGCAGCCACGGTCATTCCTTCTGCCACTCACAACCAACTCTTGCCAGCGGGGACGGACGCCCGTGCACCGCAGAG